GACCTACACAAAGAGAAATTAGACAAGCCGAACGAAATATATTGTTACTAAGGCCACTTGAGCTTGCGTAAGCTATCGTTACAAAGCCCGCTTCGCCAATTATTTTCATTAGTCATCCTCATGTTATGAAACAGACCAAATGGAATATTATCAGAGATCTTAACAGTTCAGTAATCTAAAGAAGAAAACTGTCGATTTCAGCTGATAAGTGTGACTTTGACTCGGTTCATCTCCCCATGGACGAAGCTAAGAAGGAGGACCACCAAGGCTGCTTCTTGTCCCTCAAACATTTTAATATGACCTGTTTGATTAGTAGAAATGTGGTTAAATCGTAGCGGAAAGAAAAGCATTAAACCAACAAAGATTTTGATGGATGGTGACTCACTGAACTTTGGAGAAGTGTATTTCGATTGCTTCACAGAAAATCATGTTTCATGCTTATAAATGAGTTGCCACCATAGTTAACCTTATTTACCATTGTAAATCCACGGTACATTTCCCTGCTCTCTCCAGAGCACCTTCTGCAGGCTTCTTACATTAATAAAGCTAAACCCATTTGAGATTCGGCGCCGCCTAGACAGCAGAGAATATTCCTGATAACCTCAAAGAAACGCCACGGGACTCAAGAGCTTTGAGATCAGAAAAAGATAAAAAATGAGGAAAATTGAGGAAATCATTTCAATGATAGCCTCATTTGTGGTGCGTTGCCCTTTGCCGCCGTATCACGGCAAGATATGAAAGTAGCAGAACATTTTTTGGGGTCACTTATGAAAGGCGTCTAGAAGATCCAATAAGGTCATCGTTCCGCAGATGAAAGCCAACGTTGTTATGGCATTTCTTTGCCAGTCGGTTTAAAGTCAAACTTCCACAGTGCCGAAAATTCATAACATGCAACAGATGACGTGATAGATTTGTATATTTGTTACTCAAATCCAGTGAGTATAATAACAGCTGCTCATTTGAAGGCACAAGCTTATATAAGGTCACCTAATACGCATTCTTTAACCTTTAGCATGATCTCTTGTTCTTAATTTGACTTGACAGAAAAGAGAACTAAACCTTATGGGACATTCTTGTGTCTGACAGACATGTTCGATACATGCATCCATGTGTGAACAGATGTTTAATGCTGTATGAATGTGCAGAATCTTCAGTGTCATTGAACAAATCAGTAGCCCTGTTGCATCGCAGCTCCCCTCACAGGTGAGTTAGTGTCACACACACACTGCGCGTCAGAGGCCGTCACACTCGGTTACACTGACGTGCAATGAGAGTGAGTGCAAAAGAAATGAACATCGGCTGGTACAGGGTGACATTACATAAAAACTGCACTGCGCATGATTAAAAACAGTGACATATAGTTAGGGTTGAGCTGAGGCCAGAAGACGAACTAAAAGAGTATCTAAAAAAAAAAAAAAAGTGTTGCAGCAAGGGGTTTGCAGTCTTTTGCAAGTCATGGGGGACATTTTTTTTTAGAAATGACCTGTTAGTGGAGTATTAGTATAGAGATCACATATCTCGGTGGTTTAGAAGGAACAAAACAGCGATTCATCTTAGTTTTCTTCTGTCAGCTCACCCAATTGCATGCGGCCAGTGAATAAACTGCGGTTTTCAAATCTCACCATGTGAACTCTGTTCCACCGCAGACACCCACCTGCAGCACTTACATCAGCGATGTTGTAGACGGCAGTTTTCTTTCATGTGCAAAGCCATTGACCCCTGTGGGTGGTTCAGAGATGGCACAGGACACAAGATTCAGACAGATTTTATTTCAGTATTTATAATGATTTCTAATTACAATGTTATTTTAGCCAGCTTGATATTTCTGCATCTGCCATATTGATGCAGTGTTAAACAGTCTACCAATTGATCATACACTTATCACAACCATTTGGATTATATTCAAACATTTTGGGGCTGCAAAGAGACAATTACAGAAGTATAACAGCATTTTCTGTTTCGAACTTCTAGCGGTCTGAATGTTCTTTGCATTCATTCAAATACCTTTAAACAACGACAGACATAGTTCATCCTTTTGTTCTTTGATTCATAGTCAAATTACAGTATAGCAGGTTTTAATGCAAATTATATGTAATTGCATAACCCTCACTGCGCTGTAGCCTATACTCACATGCTGCCATACATGCTCTGAATGTTCCCATTGCCACACTAATAAAGGATTATCATATCTGAAAATATGACAATTTTAGAGGCACCAATTTACCCAACGAGTGTAGCGACACGAGGCGTGATGTATAGGTGAGGGCAGTTTAAATATTTCTAATGTCTAACGCCACACTGGGAATTGTTTTAAATCTTCTCAACCCAACAAAAATAGGCAAAAGGGGAGGCACTCAGGTTCGTCCCAAATGAGGCAGAGACTCAATTTAAAATACAAAATGTAATTTTATTCAATTCAATTTACTGTTTAAAAACAACGGTAAAAACCTCACTCACTCTGGGACGAGCAACGGGGGAACCAATCAGAGCTGAGACTTACGATGGACTGTCCAAAGAAAAGGGGACCTAAAAAGGAGCACCACACATGAAGCAACTAAAAGTGAAGCAAACTCAAACAATGCAATCTTTGGAAGGTGCTCGGCGCGTTACAAAGCCCAAAGGGCATGCGGTTCCACTCAAAAAGGATACAAAAAGCAGTACGATGTGAACGATCACACTCCGCCATGGGGACTTGGTTGGACCCGCTAGCCAGGTCCATGGTGGAGAACCAACGTGCTCTAGTCAGGGCATCCAAGGACTCGTCAATGCGTGGCAATGGAAAGGCGTCCTTTTCGGGTCTTGCTATTCAGGAGCCTATATTCCACACACATACGCAGACTGCCGTCCTTAACCAGCACAATTGGAGAGCCGTAGGGACTGCTGCTCTCCCCAATAACCTGCGCACTGAGCAAATGATTAATGTGGTCTTTAACGACGTCATACTCTGACGGAGGGATCCGGCGATACCGTTGCCGCACAGGGACATTATCTAAGAGCGGGATCTCGTGGGAGATCAGGTCAGTGCAACCTAGGTCCCCGTCATGGGCTGAAAAGATGGACCCAAAAGCGCCCTCACCTCACCCTGTGCTTCTGCTGGCAAATGATCCAACTCCAGGCCTTCTAGCTGATCCTGCACTGGTGGGGAAACCGACTGAGAAGCCACGGTGGCCACCACAGGTGGCACCTCTGTGACCTCAGAGGGTAGACTTACCACCCGTACCTCCTCCAAGGTCCCAACTACAGCATGGAGGTACAGCAAGACATCAGATCAGAGCAACAGGTTTAGAATAAAAGAAACTTAAAGAAAATTACATTTAAACAAAAACTATAATAAAACACCGACAAATGGCTTAATCAAAGCTCAACAAAATCACAAAATAAGGAAAATAACAAATTGACAAATAAAAGTACGGCCTGTCTCTCGTGCACAGTTAAAATATGTCTTGACCCAGTAGAAGGCCCACAGCGAAACACGCAAAAATGAGCAATGTGGGGAGGCCAAAACAAAGCAGACCCAAACAGGGTTAATTCAGCCAAAGGCAAAGTGAACCCAGACAAGGCAAATTTAGCCAAAGGCAAAGTGAACTTAGCCAAAGGCAAAGCAGCAGTGGTCTCTGGCAGGTTAGCGGGTGTAGTACTGCTGCTCAATGATCCTTCGCCCGGTCAGGCCGCTTCGGACAATCAGCGTGGGTCGGAGGGATCGACGCTACCACGAGAGTCACCAGCGGCGGACATTGAGTGCATGAGGTGGAGAGCAGCATGCAGCCATACCGCAGTGAGCTTGTGGCACCACACGGAGGGTGTTGTAACCCCGGCCTCTCGCAAATGAAAAGCAGACAGGTGCTCTGAGGCCGCTTTTATACCGCATTGTCATGCAGCGATTAGCTGTGATCCAGACCCAGCTGAAAGATACTAGGACCAGTCACTGCACACTGCCACACAAGCATGTCTTTGGACTGTGGGAGGAACCCGGATCACTCAGAGAGAAGCCACGCAGACCCGTTACAATTACTTCCTCTCTGCAGTGTCAATATCTTTAATCTGAACTGAATTCTGTATGTGATGATAAAGTTACTCTTTATTGTATATAGCCCATTTCTTCTGCCATGCATTCATTGATGTAATTGTAGATCTTAGCCCTGCAGTGCATTTAGCTACTTTAATTGTCTGCTTGTTCTTTACCTTTAACACTCATGGGAGCAGGAATCTTTCAAACTTCACTTATATACCATTGTTTGTCAGTGTGGTGTGGGTTCTTTTCTTCGACCGTTTGCATTGATGACAAACCTCTCAGAGCAGCTACTGTTTTTATACGCTGCGCTGATGCAACAACACCAACAGGGTCTGAGCCATGTGAAATAAACTAATATTTTCCCTTAATGGAGGTGAAAGGTCAACGATTTTCACCCTTACGGGCTCCTTCGGGGTTTGAGGGCTGGCATACACTTTGAGCTCTTAACGAAAAGCTGTGGGTCAGCATTAGATGCTGACTTTGCCCAAAGGAATTACACACAAGTCATTGCGAATGTGACATTAAAAAGAGGATAACGACTCCCTCCTTTTCCGAGGAAGAAGTATCAACTTATTGATTCAATTTCCTTTGATTGGGACGGAGCCGTGAAGACGTGAGAGTAACAAGTACGAAATAAATCACTCAACTGTAAATCATGTCTTTGGACGTTGTCATGGTGACGTGATATGTTGCAGCAAAGTGCTGTCCCATTTATATTTACACCAGTTCAAGCCCTTACAGACTCACACTAAACCGTTACCCAGGTGACGTTAGTTAAGTCCCTGAGGGGTCATGGCCCAGGGTTCAAAGGTCAGGGTTCAGGGGGTGCACCGTGTATGGGCCTGGTATTGCGTGTCGTCTTGAGCCGATTAATTAATTAGCCAACACTGCCGCCTTCTGGGGTAAGCGAGTGTTGCATTGGACGGAGGTGTAGGAACCATCGAACAAACACGTGTTTCTGCTCGGACCCTAATACTTGATGGTAAAACCCGTGGAATCAAAATAGTCTCTTCTCTTTAGTCACATTTCAAACACAAATGTGCAGCTAAATGGCCTTGAAACGTAAACCAAGCGTGTATCTGATCTCATAGCTGCTGTCTGGTGTTTAAATAACGTTGGTTGTCCCCAATATGCCTGTTGTTTTCTCAGCGGCAGTTTAACGTCATTTCACCGTAACTTTGCGGGACCTCGTATCCATCTCTGGCGTGTAAGTAACTTGTTGCGGTTTTTAGGTGAACCTGCTTTAGTCAGTGCCTTCTCATTGTGGACTTATTCCCCCTGTCCCCCTGACGTCAGGCAGAAGACTATGAGCAAAGAGTCCAGAATGAGGGCCACGGTGAACCAGAAGCTGACCGAGATGGGGGAACGAGAGAGGTAAGCGCAAAGGCCTCAAAGTGACGCAATTCTAGGCTGTGTTTTATTTACGTCAGCTGTTGAGGGTTTTTTTGGTGGCGTGTCGTTGCCAGCCTCTCATCCTGTATCAACATGGTGAGAGAGAAACATGGCACAGCATATGAGTTAAGATGGAGAGGTTGCCAGCTGTGTGACCAGGTGGCTCCTCAAGCTACCAAAACATGGCTGCTGCTTCGTTGCCCTGGCAACGGGTCACTCTGCATAGTCTCACAGCTGCGCCGAATCATCAATGCAATGGTCGAGATGAAGAAGGAGTTGGTTGTGATTAATTACTAGAACTATTGGAATAAGATAAAAGTTACTACAATAATCAGTGTGCTGCACAGTAAAGTAACTCTCGCTTTGCAAAAGTGATTTAGAATGAGTGTGAACATGACATGGATGCATCTTGTTGACAGACTGAAGGAGTTACTGAGGGCTAAGCTCACTGAGTGCGGATGGAAGGATCAGATGAAAGCTCACTGCAAAGGTAAACCAAACTGTTCTTAAAACACTTGTCAAGAATCAGAATGGTGTAATACGTTGTGATGGAATCACAATCAAACACTCTGTAGAATGTATATCCTAACTTCTTTCTGCCATTAAAGCATGAACCCGCTCAGCACCTGAAGTGAGCAAAGTACATCCAGCAAATTGCCACATAATGTGTAAAGCATTCAAAATGAACACAATTTAAGACAAACAAACTGCAGGTATATTAGTTTTGTACGTAAGGGTTTTGCTTTACAACTTTCTACACAACTGCTTTTGTTGTTGTGTTGAACGATCAACCGTTTTCATTTGCAGAAGTGATCAAAGACAAAGGCTTGGAGCACGTCACCGTGGAGGACCTGCTGGTAGAGATCACCCCTAAAGGAAGAGGTCATTTCACTTGAGACTTTAGAAGAGTTGTTGTCACTTCTCCTGCTACCACCACTTGCATTGAGTGTTGGTAGAAGGACGGGATGTGGATGTGTAGCTTAGACATACATTATGTGGTAAATACTGTAATCTGTTTGAATGATCTAAGTCACAGTCCTTGTCTCTCTCTTTCTCTCTCACAGCTTTGGTGCCGGACAGCGTCAAGAAAGAGCTCCTCCACCGAATAAGGGCCTTCTTGGCTCAGCATGCCACATAGTTATACTTTATAACATTTTAACTTCCCCATACTATCATGATATAACACATGTTTAGTGCATTCATTTATCTAGAATATGTAGACACATACTTACACACTTTTCTTGTTCCTATATTTTTACTAATTCTGTGGGACACACGTATCATGTATTTGTTAATGCACTTACTTTGTATAACAGATGTTCAGGGTTAATAAGGTCTAGATTTATTGAGCAGCAGTTATTTTAAATACTATAATATATAAACATATACAAACTATTTTACATTTGAATTGAAGCTTTTATTTTCAAATTGAATCATTTGTGGCAGTTCTTGGTTCATTATATTAATTTATGAGGAAACCGATGAAGTAAGTGCTAAAAATATCACTTACTCTTTTAAATTGTTGGGGACCATCCCATTGCTCACATCATGTATGACGGCCTTTAGATGGTAAAGTTATTCATTGCCTGTAAAACCGATGTCGAAGTCATTTGGACATAATTAAAATACTTATAAAAAGGTTAAGATTAACATATGTTGGTTCCTGTTAATATCCTCTTTCCGGCCACACTGCAATTTAGCAATTAATTCTCCCGGAGCATTTATCAATTGGTGCAAATCCTTTTTCATAAGCACTGCACATCTAAATGAGGATTTGTATGTGTTATTGCAGGTATCAATGCAGCATCCAGTTTTATACCTTATCTATCAAACTAAAATATGATGGTTATTCACCACAAATCAGTCAACTAGTCCTGTAAATGAACGTTTTCCACTTAAATCCCAAAGGACCACTTTTCTGTAACGAAAAGCCAGTTGCTGCTTTCACAAATTTAAAACAATGTAACACAATGTGGAGAGGGCGGGGCAAGACTGACATTGTCCAAAAATAAACAGGAGTGACCCTGCTCACAGGGAGCGGTGCAGGCACCAATGGACCAATGGCCCTCCCAGAAACTGGTTGTCGGATTGTTTCAAGGTCCTTTGTGCGAACTCTACGAAATGAACAAGTGCACTCAAGTGTCCCAGTGAGAGTCACTGCTCTGAGTTACTCTGCGAGGCAGAGAAGGCCAGGTCATGATCTCTCAACGCCCTAATACCGTTTTAATGTTGTCTTGCAAGTCACATAAAACAGAACCGTTACAGGAATCTTTGGTCCTAAAGCTGGACCTTTTTTTTCTTCTTCTTCCATCCACATCCCGAACCACATCATTTTGTTTTGTTTTAAAGGTTTCTATAGTTACACTCGCACAATGCCTTACCGGTCAGGGATCTGGATATGTAGAGGCCGCAAAGGCAAAACGACACAGGGCTCGGCGCAAGTAGCACATTAGAGGGCAGTGAGTGAGTCTGAGCCGGTGTTTTCTCAGCCAAAGGACCCGCTGTGACATCAGCCCAGGTGACAACATGCTGATATACAATGCACAAACGCACCCCTCCAGCGTCGCACACACGCTCCTTTAATGGCCTACATCAATCCCCTCCCACCCCCCCTTGTTCCCCGCACATAAAGGGGGTCCTGCGCACTGTAGTGCACCACTGGATAGAATTACCAGTGATGCAATTTATTATCATACAGATTTTTATTTACTTTCTCACTCTCTGTTCTCGGCTTTTCTCCGTCACCGCGGCCCTCCACAGCTGTGCCAAGGAGCTGTACAGTTTCCAGATGACTCTGCACATCATAAAAAAAAACAAAAAATACATGGAAAAGCATTTATCCAAATAAAAGAACGACATGATTCGAGAAACCTTTCTCCTGTCCGCTGGCTCAGGCCTGCACGGCAGAGATTTGATTAAGAACTGTCCTGGTGATCACAGTGGCGGCCGATGGCGAGGAAGCGCACACTTTGTAGCATCCTGTGAGGCAGCCTCTGAATGAACCACCATAAGTCAAGCAACAACAAAGGCCAGGACCGCCCTTCTTCAACCAAAGTCAATATCAAGCTGTGTCTGAGCAGCACTTGATGACATTTAAAAGGAAAAGTCAAACATGTGCGTGTCTGCGAGTGCTTTTGGTGTGCGCGTAGGTAAGTGTGCGCAGATATATTCACCACCCCTGGAATCGGATCATTTCATCACGATAGCAGCTGTGTCAATAGGCAATGGAGCCAAAAGCGTGGTCCCGTGTGCAGAGTCCCAGAGGTGCTCTGAGGTCCTCTCTCCAGTGGAATTGGCAACATCCAAAGACCATAAACACCTCCCTTACTGTACAGACAAGTGAAGAAAACGCAGTGCTGGGTGGAAACAGATGGCAGGGACATGCTCGTATTATATACGAATGTTAGGAAGGGATGTTGTATTACATATGAAACAATGCGTGGCCTTTCTTTGGGATAAACGTGCACCTGCTTAAGATGGTGATGGTTTAAGTGTTCATGAATTACTGTATCTCAAGCCCTGGTTATTTAAGATCAATGGAAAAATCTCCCCATGTTTACGAAAGCATATCGGACATTTCTAATTTATTGGAGGCTGCAATGGGCTTATGCGTCTCTGATAAATCTTTTTTTCAGGATGGAAAGGGCAAATACATTACTAAAGCAGAACAGGGTCAAAGCAGGTTTTTCAAAGCAAAAGAAGGGGCCATGTGCTCCCACAAATTCCCAAGACCCGGTGTGCAGTTGGCCCTCTTTACTGTCAACATGTGTGAATGCCATGCTCGATAAATTTCTCTTTGAATTCCCTCACTAGAATTTATGAGACGTGCAACATGGGGTTGCAACTCTTTTGAAGCCTACACACTTGCAGCGCTCTGTGCTGCGTACGCTCTAGTTTTAAGGAGAAAAGCAGAAACAGGTAGAAGTTATTGTGTAGCATCTTGTAGTTGAAACAGTTTTGAATGTATTCATGCTCTGCTGCGTCTCCTGGGATCTGTTTTCTACACACTAATGAGGCTGAAGAGCAAGTTTCACTCTGTTATTCCTGGCATGGGTGCACCAGTCGCAGGCATACCACTCACACGCTTTCTTCCCCCTCTCAGTAGCCCAGCGCAAATAATAAATAAGAGGAAATACATCATCCCCTTTTCAATCTGAGAGCCAGGAGCGGGCCTGCCAAAGTTAACACAAAGCAATCTTAGGTAATGATCAGCAAATGTGTATAAAGTTTCATAGAGCATGACTTCACATAATTCTTCTTTAGTTCATGTTAGCTGGCTCAGTCTCAACGTGTAGTGCTGTACACACACACACACACACACACACACACACACACACACACACACACACACACACACACACACACACACAGTTTTCTCACCTGAAGTGTGTTTGTAATGGCAGTACTTCTGTTTGGTGAGGCATGGTAATTGATTTTTTTTTTTTACAGAATATGTTGCGTTGTGGCAAGGACCGGCTACCAGTCTTAAATTGTCCAATTCTATTGTATTGAAATACGCTCGTTAACGTTCATCCACTCATTTATACAAAAAGTCCTCATTGAGCTGTGGTAGCGTTCTACCTACAGCACAGCCAGCGTGCAGATGGAGAGCCGGGGGGGTCCTCTGCTCAACAAAACCGAGGAGGGAAGCGAAACCCGATCCGGACGTTGTTTACCCTGTTTCTGATGTAAAGGCCACTCACTGTCGTGTCCAATGCCTAACCCGTAATTTGCTGCCGCAGCCTTTGAAGCCCGCGCACGTTTCTGTTCCTCGACACTACCTTTCCCCTCTCCTCTCTCCTCCTCTCTTCCCTCCGTGCCCCGGCCGTTGATATTGCAACTGGATAGGCCATGTTTCCATGCAGGGGCTCTTTTAAGGCCCGCTCTGATGATAGAAAACACAAGTGGGGAAGGGGAAAAGGAGTGCTGGGCGCACAGATCCACAGAGAGGCCCCGGCCCAGACAACGCTGCAGGGGATTAGAGCACACCCTGGCAGCAGAATGGTTTCACTTAAGAATTTCAGTAATCACTTTTAGGAGTGTAATATATAGCTGACCTTCGGCAGCGCCACACGACCCCCCGCTCCCCCAACCATTTGATCAAAGGAAGCGGCAGTGGCTGTGCAAACAGGCGCTATCAGTGGACTCCAATGGATTTAGTGCCTGCTTCTTCTCTCTTGTCTCCCCTGAGTCGTGCGCTGATACACACAGAGACCCAGTTTCATCTAACAGAACCTATTTTTCTCCCAGTACGTATTTACGGGCCAGATCATGACTTGGAGGGGACTTAGAGGAGGAGGGTTGGGGGGGTGAGGGGGGGGGCGGCTCGGGGAAAGGGGAGAGAGTGGAGGTGGGAGCAGCCTGGGGCCCTTATCCACTGCCTGCTGGCTGGGCCGAGCGGAGAGGCTCTCATCATCATGGGAAAAGCCCAGTAGGTGCTCTCCTCTCAGCTGGAGCAGCCAAACACCGTGGGCCTGTGCTCCGCAACAATAAGGGCAACCAGAAAAGGACAGAGGGCCGGCCCAGTAGGGTTTGAATAGCGCCCCAAATCACAGGGGGCTCTGACAAAGAAGTGGTGAGAGAGGATGTGGGTACCATAGCAACTATTAATAAGTCAATACATACCGGTGTGTAAGTCCCGAAGCCTGTCTAATGCTAAAAGGAAGCTTTAATGTTTCCTCATTTTTAATTACACTCATGTACGAGTCGAACGTTTAACACAGCAGCTGACTTTTCCCAAGCAATGCTTGTATTTTATTGCTCTGAGTAACATAACATCCCATTTCCACCAATTACCAACTAGCGATTATTGTAAACATTACTCAACGAGAAGCAGACTATCAGAAAACAACAAGTTGACCTTTATGCTTTTATGGGGAAATATCTTTCAGCTGCTTAAATCCCTAGGAATTGTAGCTGTAGTAGTAGTTTGTGACTCACATGTACCGGTCTAATTTCATGCTCTTGTTAGAATGTTCCTTGTAGAACCCGTTGTGCTCATGGTACGAGCACAAGTGCTGTTTATTGTTTTCTTTGTTCAATTTAAAATGAACACACACCAACAAATGATTTATTTGTTGTGTTTATATTTCAGCATGTGTGCCAGTGAAAGACGGAGGAAGTTGCGGTTTGCAGAGCGGGAAGTTCTGCTTCTAACCAGTTGAGGGCGACACGCAGCAGATGACAGAGGAGGATCTGGAGTACGAGGTGTTGCACTATGGGTCACTCAAACTACTGACTACTTGTAGCAAATTTCAAGATCTGAAATATCAAAGGGCCATGTGTTACATCAAGTGTGTGTTTTATGTCCTTTGAATCGTTTCTTCTTGTCGACTGTGTGCATATGATTTCAATTTTCTTGTCAGTTTATCAGGTGCATTACATTTTTTTTCTTCTTTTTAACTCAATGAGGAATTTAGTGCTGATGATAAAATAAGCAATAGTTCTTTAGCTGGCATGTCAGGGAGTGTTTACGTGACTCAGCTGATGACAATGCGTGCCGGTGTCATAAAATGACTGCAGGAAGTCCTGTGCTTTTATGAGCTTCTTAGACAAGCTTGGGTGTGGAGGGGGGCGGGGGGTATATTTCCTGATTTAAGCATGTGAAAGCAACTCACCACATGTTCCGCCTTTCCCAGAAACAACGGGGAAGGATCCCAAAGAAACTCTCCAACGCAAGGGCCCTAAAACGAGAACTTTAACCCGCCTTTCATCTGAGAGGGTCACTGCAGGTCAGCCTGACCCCGACGATGTCACTGTGTGAAGGTGACCAGTGTTCAGCACAAATATACCCTCATGTGTATCCAGCCTGCTGGTTATGTAGCCCCTGTGTAACAAGACTTGATGAGGAGTAAGTGCAGGTGTATTCATCCCGACGTATTTCTTCATTTCATCAGCTGATACGGTTCCTTGCTTTGAAAGCAAACAGGAGTGCCCGCTATAAATGTGCTATAGTCCTTGGACATGTAAGTATTTTATGGTGTTATCTCTATGGGCATGAGTGATAAGTTTGATACCCGAGTGCTTTACTGTAATACAGCTGGTCATTTTGAGGCTAATTGGTTTTGAGTCAGTTA